ATTTTGACAACCACCCATATGGCACTTTAGGGTTTAGGATACTTAGGTCTCTACAGGGTTTAGACTTCATCATGAATCATGGGTTTAATCAATTTAGGGTTTAGGAGCCTAAGCCACGACCGCACCATGGACCCTAAACCCCGAAGACAAGCGAGCGCAGTATGCCTGCTTCATCAGCCCTAGAACTCTAAACCTAGACTCCTGTGTGGCCTGCGCCCGAAATTCCTAAAGTCTCGACATCTAAGCCGCGAAGGCAGGGCTCTAAGCCCGTACAGGAAGCCTACGGGAACCCTCACGCAGAGCCTAAACGCAAACCTAAAAAGGCATTTTGAAAGGAGCCAGAGAAAAGAGCCATTAAACACATGTGCTTACAAACCCTGCAGAATCCATACAATTTGTTCACGCCCTTAAAGGAACCCAACAGGAACCTTTAAACGCAACAGGACCCGTCCAACAGTTGAAGTACCAAAACTTCGAGCAATTGGTTCGGCCGCCAGTTCCTACAGTCTCTCCGCCGCTCGGTTGAGGACTTCTTCGTGGCTTCGGGGGCGGGTTGCTTCAAGGCTCCCTTGAACGTTCCTTTCCCTAAACTCCCCAGGTACCTACTATATAGGCTACTAGAGCCCGTGAGGCCCTGTATAGTAGGTACCTAGAGGGTTAGGGTTTGATCTGAGGGTTTAGGATTTAGGGTTGATGACTTCTATAGGACTTCAGAGTGTTAATTTAATGGTTCCTGCAAAGGTTCTGTTAGGGGCCCTAAACCCTAAACCCTAAACCCTAAGCCCTAAACTGCTTTAAGGGTGTCTTGCAGGTTCATGTAGCCCTAAGGCCCTCCATGTACCTGTCTAGATTTGTCTACGTTGGGTTTAGGGTTTAGGGTTTAGGGTTTAGGGTTTAGGGTTTAGGGTTCCTAGAAAGGTACACCAAGGCCTAAGTACACACTTACATACTGTATGGTACATGGAGCCTTCGGGTTGCCCTACACCCTGAACCCTCATCAGGATTCTTTAGCATGGACAATGTGCAGACGGAAAGGGGACCACTAAACACAATAATAATAAGTAAATCATCAGGTTCATTTCAAGGATTTAGGCGGCTGCTCGGGTGAGGACTCTGGGTGTGATGGTTTAGAGAAAGTGCGGTGTTGGTTCTATCACGGCTCTATACGTCTATAAGGCTTGCTATAATGTCTCCATAAGGGCTCGCTCTCTCCGTCTCTCTCTCTCTCTATGTATGTATGTATGTATGTATGTATGTATGTATGTATGTATGCATGTATGTATGTACGTACGTACGTACGTATCTATGTCTGTATGTGTATATGATATGTATGTGTATGCAAATGTCAACGATTTTGGGTTGTCGATGCTCGTTTCGAAGGACGCTGCAGATCTTCAAGCTGTAGGGCTTTGTTATAGGGTTCAGGACTTCGTCCCTGTAGAATTGCCGAGCCCAACGTCGGCACATCCATTCAGCATCTCACCGTCAAGCCCTCAACCCAACCTAGCCCTTTTGGGGTTTAGGGTTTAGGGGGCTTAGGGTTCAGGGCTTCGTAGACTTTAAATCCCAAGGCCCAAAACCCTAAATCCTAAACCCAAACTCCCTGACACCCAAAACCCCAAAACCCTACACCCACAAACCCTGGAGCCCGAGAAGAAGACTGGATTCTTTTAAAGGATATTAATTCGAGTTGCCGAGTTACCATAATAAAGAAACCATACTATTTACCATAGATCCTTATTACGGCAACTTAAATCAAACGCCTTAACCAGAGCCCTAATCCCAAAACTCAGTGGCACCTTAAACCTGAACCTTAAAACTCTAAACCCTAGGCCGTACCTACACCCCTAAACCCTAAACCCTAAACCCTAAACCCTAAACCCTAAACCCTAAATAAACCCTAAACCTGAACCTAAAAACCCTAAACCCTAAGCCGTGGAAGAAGAGGCTTCCGGCCAAGCACTACGTCCCCTTCGAGGCGGAGCTCGCCGTGCTTTTTTGCGTGGGTACGCGGCTGGGCGGTTTAGGGTTTAGGGTTTAGGGTTTAGGGTTTAGGGTTTAGGGTTTAGGGTTTAGAGTTTTTTAGGGTTTGGGGTTCAGGGTTTTGGGGTTCAGGGTCTAGGGTTCAGGGGTTTAGGGTTTGGGGTTTAGGGTTTTGGGGTGCAGGGTTTTATGATTGGGGTTTAGGGGTTTGGGGTTCGGGGTTTTAGGATTTGGGGTTTAGAGGTTTGGGGTTCAGGATTTTATGATTGGGGTTTAGGGGTTTGGGGTTCAGGGTCTTATGATTGGGGTTTAGGGGTTTGGGGTTCAGGGTTTTATGATTGGGGTTTAGGGGTTTGGGGTTCAGGGTTTTATGATTGGGGTTTAGGGTTTCGGGGTTCAGGGTTTTATGTTTGG